AGAGGCAAAGGCAGGTGGATTTCTGTGAGTTCAAGGGCAGCAGGGATACACACGGTGAGACCTGTCTCAAAAACCAACAAAACAAAAACAGCCAGGCCGGGTGGCACACACCTTTAATCCCAGCACCGGGAATTAACTTAAAGTAGGATAATATAGGAGGCAGAGGCTGGTGGATCTCTGGATCAAAGTCAACATGATCTACAGCCCGAGCTCCAAGACAGCCAGAGCCACATTGAGAAATCTTGTCTTGGAAAAATTAAAATAAATAAATAGACCAAAAACAGACAAGCAAATGAAACCAAAATCCAATGTTTTAAACCTTTTTTTGTGTTCCTCAGGAAGGAGGAGTACATAACTGATTTGTGAGGCACACATGTAAAGTGTCAAGTGCCGCCTGCGGAAGAATAGATGCAGACTCACGTGCCAACAAGGAGAGGGGAAGAACCGCCGTGAGAAGGCAACGAAAAGAACACTTCCTGACAGAAACCCTCCAGAAAGGAAGAGAGTTCGCAGCGGGGCAGCTGTACGGATTTTAGGAATAATGATTTTGAAACCGGAAATCATGCAGCCAGTCAGAGGGCAGATGTTTCACAGAGGGCAAATACGGAACCGTAGATCTCAGGGCCGGTGCTAGTACTGTACTATTATTTCAGAATGCCTGGACCAATAGCAGCACACAGGCCTTCAAAACTGTGCTTCCTAAAGCCTGAGCTATCTTTATACAAGAGTAGCTATTTGCAAGTTGTTCACTGTTATCTACATCTGAACTGTCAAAAACCTAAACGGCAGTATTTCTTCATAGAATCTCAAGCACCTTAATAATTTTTCGAGATTTCTCAGTGTCTCAGGAAACTCAAGGAATGTTGCTAAGCTCCATCGCGACACCAGTTTTTCCAAGCATGTAGCCATTTCCGCATGTCTGCTCTAGGAAACATAGCCGCGAGTTAAAAAGCAAGTGTCGACTGATAACCTGGGTGTGAACGTGCCGTGTTACAAACTATTCCACTTTGATTGACAGATGGGATCAAGAGTCACAGAATTCCACCAGACAGCTCAATAATCTGAGAACCAGAGACTCATCCTGAACATGTTCCCTGTTCGTGATCACCCTTTGCATTTGGAAGCGGTTCCTGCTCATTCTGCATTTTTGATGATCCCAGTGAAGATCATCTGCCAAACACCCTGAGTCCCAAACCTAAGACAAAGTGCAACAGCCTCTAGAGGAGAAACCTCAGTCTCTCTAGGTTTCTGAATAGACGTGAAAGCGATGGGAAGAAACTGGTGGTTTTAGCTAAGAGTGCTGGTGGGTTTCTCATAGCTATCCTTGTCTGTTCACAACCACCCGAGATGCCTGGGCAGTGCTGATAGATATTCCACACGAAAGAACAGATGCTCGCATCCCATCTTACTCTACAAATGATCTGTAGTGTATAGTTTCTTCTAATGTTGAAAAAGGGAATAAAATTATGAAAGTGTAAAAGTGCAGAAATATAACTCCAGTCTAGAGGTCCCTAACCCTTGCTGTGTTTTTAGAATCACCAGGAAAGCTTTAAAACTGACCCCATATTCCCCCACCACACCCCTGGCATTAGTTACATGCCTAGGGGTGGGTGGCCCGGAGTGGTCCTCAAGTATCCCCAGGGGTGTCTCTGTGTAACCGTTTGGGACCTGTTGGCTTAGGATACAGGTAGCCTGCATGTGAGGATCACCTGAGCTGCTACCATAACCACTGATGTCTGCTCTTCTCCACCGACCCTGTGAGGACAACCTGCCTGTCACCTCTTTAAAAAGCTCCCCAAATGCTCCCACCCTGCATCCAGTGTAGTGGACCACAGCTCTGGCAGACCACACAGTTGCAAAGAACATTGATAGTTTGAGGTGAGTTCTTTTATGGTTTGGTGCTCTGTATCTGCTGGTAGCCAAAATATTTTTTTCTTAAAAATATCACAATCAGAAGTCGGGTGGTGGTGGCACATGGCTTTCATCCCAGCACTCAGGAAGCAGAGGCAGGTGGATCTCTGTTGAGTTTGAGGCCAGTGGTCTATGGAACAAGAAGTTCCAGGACAGCCAGAGCTATGCAAAGAAGCCCCGTCTCTATAAAACCAAAACTAAAACAACAACAACAATAACAAAATCACAATCAAGTAAAACATATTTTTTTTTTCTCGTGAGTTCCTTGAAAGACAGTAAGGTTTCCTTCACAGATCTCAAGTCAATGTTTTGTTTGAATCTGCTCATCTGGGATGTTGAATGATGTTACAGACCATAATTGTGTAAACTATCCATAATAAATAGCACACGACAAATTTCCTATGTACATTTTAATATAAACTTTTATTAATTCTTGGAGAATATAGTACACCCACACCTTGTATTTTGTTCACAACCACTTCTAATATCCATCCCTCGGGGAATGTCAAGGGCATGACCTAGACTGCTGGTAGCAAAGGCTATTTGTTGTGTTGGAGGTGGGGAGGGAGCAGGATGATGAAGAAAATGATGAAGAAGGGTGACATCCTTCCACAGTGTCCAGGTGACTCAGCCTGCTGTATGACTTCTCCTGGGGAGAGATGAACAGATGTATATTCATTTCTGATAGAACACGATGAAACAGCTCCTCTAACATAGTGTAGGGAACTGATGGTAACTTAAAGGGGACATGAGTGGCTCAAAGGGTAGCTGCATCACGGAGAAGCCCGTCTAGATGGTCATGGGTACCTGCCTGCTCATGACAGTTGCATTTCTCAAACTCCCTTCTAGTCAGTGCCACTGGGGAGCTGGCCTTCCCCTGTAGCACGAATAATATAAATCCCGAGACAGATATTGGGGTGCAAGCTGAAAGATCAGAGAAGCAAAGCAGCCAATCACTAGAGAGAGAGCTCTTACCTCTACAAAATCTTCATACTGAAAAGAGAGTGAGTTCCTGTCTTATCCTGCCTTATAATCATTCGTCTCTAGAGCTGGAATTAAAGGCAAGCACCACCACCACCCGGCCTCTAGGGCTAATTCGTGTGGCTGCTGGAATTAAAGGTGTGTGCCACCACTGCCTGGCCTGTGTGGCTGACTAGCGTGGCTAGCTTTGCACTCTGGTCTTCAGTCAAGCTTTATTGGTTAGATCATAAACAAAATATCACCACATCCCCTACCCCAGCAGTGTATTGTCTTTATGTAACCACCTCAGAACTTGTTTTTATTTTATTTTATTTTGTTTTGTTTTTTTCAAGACAAGGTTTCTTTGTAGTTTTGGAGCCTGTCCTGGAACTCACTCTGAAGACCAAGCTGGCCTTGAACTCACAGAGATCTGCCTGCCTCTGACTCCAGAGTGCAGGGTATATCAAATGTGGTGCATGCGCATATGCGCCTTTTCAAAAAAGAAAAGATAAGCCGGATGGTGGTGGCATAGGCCTTTAATTCCAGCAATCAGGAGGCAGAGACTGGCCGATCTCTGTGAGTTCGAGGCCAGGCTGGTCTTCAAGGGCTAGTTCCAGGACAGGCTCCAAAGCTACAGAGAAACCCTATTTCGAAAACCAAACCAAAACAAAACAAAACAAAAATAAAACAACAACAACAAAAGTCTAGGTTTGATAAGTTGAAAATTCTTGGTGGGAAAACACAAGCAGAGTTCTGTGAAATATTCTATCACTTTTTTTTTCTTGGTAGGGATTTTGTGGCTCCTAAGCACCATACAAACTTGATGACTGAATTCGGAGGCTTCTGAGCAGTGGTTCCATGGGGCACCAGCAAGGGAGGAAAGAGAGAGCTAAAGTTGGGAGTGTGGGACTGCCTTTCCTTTCGATTTGCAGGGTGCACACCAGGTATTTGATCTTTAAACCAGGGCAGGCAAGGTGAGTCTGTTGATTTTGTGAATTCTTCCTTCAGTGAAAATCCTAACCTCCCAGGCAAAACCAGAAACTCTGGTAATTTCTTTTTAAAGGCAAATCGCTTGTTCTTCCTGTTTTATAATCCACCAGTGCATTCAACATTTAAATTGAAGGGAGAACGGCTTCCTTTTGCTGAGTTGAGACAGTGTCTCGACAGCCCTAGTTGTTTTGAACTATGCAGACCAAGCTGGTTTTAAACCCACGGAGATCTGCCTGCCTCTGCCTCCCCTGTGCTGAGATTAAAAGGCGTGCGCCACCACGCCTGGCTCTTAGGGATGGCTTCTTGAAAAAAAGTAGAGTGATGATTTTCTCTTAACTTATTTAAAGTAGCTTCTTGCATTCCTGTACATAGAAAGACTAAATGAAGGGCTTGCTAGAGAAACAATGCATCTGGAATGTGGGGAGACTCCTACAGTGGCTAATAAGAAGGCTCCATCGTTTGCATATGTAAAGGACAAACTTAAACTTGAATTTGGTATTTCACGCTGTCTCACAAAAAAAAAACCCCAGAAAACAAAAAACCCAAGCTTTTATCAAAGAACCAGGCAGCCAGGTTTCAAGTGGGTGGGTGTGTACTCAGCGCGGGCGCAGAGTTGGTTTTGTTCCCAGTAGAGTTGACATCGGCAATGGCGACTCGCGACCACACCGGGGCAGACTCTCCTAGGCTGGCCGCCCAGCCAGGCCGGTCGCTTCGGGGAGCTGACGCGGTTAGCCAAGTCTGGTCTGCCATAGCTGCCAAGAATTTAAAGGGGATCTAGAAGCATGCCTCGTCGCCCGTCGCCCTCTTTTAACGCTCCTGGGACTCTGGCTTAAGAAAAAAAAAAAAAGACAGATAAAAATGGAAATAGTGATTTTGTTGTTGTTTGCACGGTGTCTTCATGGTCGCCCCCCCAACGTCCAGTCCACCGGGTCCCCAAGGCAGAGGGAAGCAGAGCAAGCAGGAGGGTCAGCCCGGCAGGCCCAGTCCGCCAGGGCGCGCCCCAGCTCAGCACTCCGCGCGGGGTGACCCAGGAGGCGCGGGGGTGGGGTGGGCGTGGGGCGAAACACCCCCACCCCCGCGGCCCGCCCCCCAGCTCGGCCTGTGATTGGCTTGGGGGGCGCGAGTGCCCGCCCCGGCGAGCGGGAGGGTCCCCGTGGGCGCCCGGAGGCGCAGGCGGGGCGGGGAGAGCGGGCCGGGCGGAGCAGGCGAGGGGCGGGCGCGCGGGTCCCGGGGATCGCCGAGCGGGCTTGGGGAGGCCGGGAGAGCCAGCGGCGGGGGCGGGAGCCCGGCGGGCTCAGCGCTGAGTGGAGAGAGAAAGAGAGAGAGAGCGCTGGGCCAAGCCGCCGCTCGGCGCGTTCTCGGAGCCGCCAGTCCGCGCGTCCCCGCAGCCTTCCGGGAGGAAGCGGCGCCGCGGCCGGGTGCAGCCTCACCTGCCGGCCCTTCCCCGCCGGGCGGCGCAGAAGGACAGAGGGTCGCGGCCCCGCGACGTACTTCAGCCGGTCGCAGCGTCTAGGACCCCGCGCGGGGTGCCGGCTCCATGGCGACCGGGCTCGGGGAACCCGTCTACGGACTTTCGGAAGAGGAGGTGAGTTCCTGCCCAGAGCGCTGTGTGGGGAAGGGACGGGGCCACTCCGCTGTGTGCGTGTCCCCTGCCAGCAGTGGGTCGCGAAATCCGGGTGACCCAGAGCGGTCCCGAGCGGTGGGTGACTTGGTCCTCCCTCCTCACTGGGGAGGTGCGCTCCTCGGCCCGGGGCTCTCAGGGTGGGCGGAGGCCGCGTGTGCCGCTGCCCCGCGGGTCCCTTTCCTCAGCAAGCCGCGTCTCTCGGGGCTGTTAGGCAACTTTCCTTCCTGGTCATGCCCCTGCAGCCTGGAGTCCGTGACGTGTGTCACGTTTGGGTCGCTGCAGGGGTCTCTGCGTGGCGCAGGCGATCTGGGGATTGTTGAGGAGACTGGTGGTGTCTCCCCCTGGGACTTTTCTTGCTTGTGGGCGCTCGGTAGCGGTTGTATGCATGCAGATCCCGGAGAGAGCAGGGGACACCCGGAGAGTTGCGTGCGGCCGCCCCTGGGTCTTGCAAAGTCTGGAGCTGGGATTGTGCGTTCCGGACTCTTCTATTTTGGTGTGTGGAGGTGGTCCGAGAAGGAGGCAGGTGCTGCAGGAAACTTAGGGGAAGCTTGCAGCCCTGCCATTTCTTCCCAGTCAAGAGGATTCAAAGCCCCGCACCTCCGGGGTGGGTGGAGAGAAGAAAGCTCCATTGATCTCTTTTATTAATAAAACGAATGAAATAAGCCACACCCCCAAACGGTCGGTTTGACTGGAGAGGGCTTTGTTTTTAAAAAACCTCACTCGCGCATCGCGGTCCCCACTCCCTCGTTTGAAACGGTCCTGCTAAATCACTGCTCAGCCCTCACTCGACTCTTATTGGTGTGTTGCTCTGCCAAAAAGGGGGGTGGGAGGCCTGTCGCGGGCGCGGAGTGACAGGCAGGCTGGATGGAGCAGGTAGGAGTGGTTCGCCATCTGGCGGGGTGCGCGCCCAGGTCTGGCTCCCCTTTTGAGAGGTGAATTTACAACCCATGAAGCATTACTCAGCAGGGAGGTATTTCCTATCCTGGTTGTGCATTTCATGAAAAGTGGATGCCTGGAAATTTGGGCTTTCTCGATTTCTCTGTCTTACCCTCGCTCCTTTCTTTCTGAGGTTCCCTCTTTCTCTGGTGATGGGGGTGGGGTTTAAACAGAGTCTATTATCTGAGACAGATTCACGGTGTGGCTTTGCTTGCAACAGCTTCCCTACTGGCGTGTGTGTGTGTGTGTGTGTGTGTGTGTGTGTGGTGTGCCTTTCACAGCTTTCCTACTGTGGCATGGGGTATGTGTGTCTGTGTGTGCATATTCTACCTAAGTGTGGAATGAAATGGGTATCTTGTGGTAGGCAGGGCGTGTAGGGGTTGATTTTATCTTTTGATAGTGCTTGCTGGATTGTTTATTTTATCAAAGAATGATCACAATGCAAATATTGTGTGATGTGTTTTTGATTATTTGCCGTGCTTGTGTAAAATAAATTGTGTGTGTGTGTGTCTCGTGTGTGCTGTTACCTGGAGATGGGTGGAAGTAGACTTGTTTTGTTTACCCAGGGGATTCTCTTTAGCTCCTTGTCTGGAGCTGGAGGGCAGTCCTAGTTTTTGGAGGTGCTGAGATACTGACGTTCCTGAACAAAGGGCTCCCTGGATGAGGTATCAAGGGAGAAGAAGACAGCTGCGTTTCATCTTAGGGTCTCTTAATTTTTAAAAATAACATGCTTATTTTTAAGAGCTCCTTGAAAGAATTATTTTGAGGCTGTTTTGGAAAATGCATCTGCCTGGAGGAATCCTTCTTGTCCCTGGTGCGCAAGGGCTTTGTTTACCCTGGCAGCCAGTGTCAGAATCCACGGGCGCATCTCAGCACTTTTGTCTTCGAGAATCACTGCTGATCCTGACTGGTGTTGGGTGTGAAAGTGAAGAACATAGACACAAAACCTGAGTGTGTGGGGCTTTTGCCTGTGACTGCGCCTGCATGTTGTCAGAGACTGTACAGGGAATAGCAAGAGGTGATGAAGACACTGTTTATCTAGGTATTGCCTTGCTGTGGATGGTTCTGTTTAGCTCCTCACACATCGGATATGATCCCACATAAGCCACGTCTGCCTTCCTTTTTCATTTTTCTCTCACCAATAGAAAAGGATTCTTTTCATATTTCTAAGGTATCTGTTTGGTATGGGAGGGCCCTCTGCTCAGGAAGACGGACAGAATGCCTTCATTGTAGTATTAACAACAAATTGTTAAATTTACTTGCTTTGTTATGTCTCCCAAATTAGTCTGTAAGCAAACAAATGGGCGTGATTAACAGGCTCTGAAAGCGGGCTGCCCAGTGAAACCAACATTACCAGAGGCTCAAGTTGTGTTAAATAGGGAGGACTAGTGGGCTGCAAAGTATCACATGAAGATACTCATGTAGCTGTAGAAAGGAGTCTACTTGTAGACCTCAGAAAAACAGGCACTGTACCCAGGGTTATCTTGAAAGTACACTTGTGTTGTTCGTGTGTGATGGTGGTGGAAAGCTTTGTGTATTTGGAATGAACTTAGTCCCATCCCAGCTTAGAAAGCCACTTAGTGAACTCCGTACTGCTATTGGTCAAGCATGGTGTTAACCCGGAGCATAGCAGGATGCCAGAGCTAAGACATTGCAGCTTGGGGCATCAGTCTAAGGTCTGGCTAGGGTACTGAATGAGAAGGATGAAGATGTAGGTTTTGCTCTTGTGGGCGTATGTGCTATATATGCATTGTAGCTGAATTTCCTTGGGTGATTTCGAGTTCATAGTCTCTTATCTAAAGCATGTCAGTTTCGGGAACCAAAATCGAAATTACCATCAATTGAGTTTTGGTATTAAAGGGATTAGCTAATGAACAACAGTTCGAATTCATGGATGAGGATCAGCTTTGGTTTGGAATCAGAAAGGTTTGGACTCGTTTCTGCATCTGGCTTGGATCCTTGAAGGGCTTTTTCTTGTTTGAATTTATTTGTGGCCGTCTGCAGCCTATTTTGGCATGGTTTACTCAGGAATATTATTGTTACTCTTTGGAATCTTTCATTACACCTGAGAAAGGTATCATTTTGGGAGATTTTCTATTGGAAAAGATGTCAAGAGTTTGAGTGACAGCCTTCGGAAGAGGTTAGCTGTGGTATCCCAGCACATAGAGACAGAGGAAGGGATGGGGAGCTTGAGGCCAGCCTGGCCTAAGAGCCAGAACCTTCTCAAAAACAAACAGATGAACCATGAAACAAAAATCCTACAGCCCCAAACAAAACAATAAGATAGCTCACTTAGACATTAGTGTTTCTGGAGGCCAGAAAGAGGCAAATGGCATAAAAGTGAAGGTCAGGCTGGTGTAAGATGGTAATTGGATATACCTCTTCTTCCATATAAACAACTGTGTATCATCTAACATATGCTTCATTAAGGACTCTTGAGGTATGCTGTCATTTCTGGCTGAGGAATGGAAGCTAAGAGAGTTCAAATGAACTGTGTGAAAACATTCAGCCAGTGGGTAGGCCTGTTGGCCCTAGAGCCTGAGTTCTTAAAGTATGCTCCCCACTCTCTCTCTTCCTCCAGGCGCCTTGAAAGGTTTGCATAGCTAGATTATCCATGGTAGTGCAAAATGAGCTAAACGTTATGGGTTGCAAACAAACACTCCTTGACCAAAATTGAGTGCTAACTCTCGTTAGTATGGTCTCCATACCGCGTTAAAGCCTGGGAGAGTTCATGAAAACGCTGAGGAGTGCGGCTTCTTTGGGTGACAGTCTCACCTGGCAATAGCTAGCCCTTTTCTGTGCTTCTCCTGTGTGGCAGTGTGTTACCACCCTCAGCGCTCTTTGCTCTCTGTGACCTTAAGAGTCTCTACTGATTTGTATGTAATTATAAACTTGCTAATGTACACTTAAGGTTACCTTGGCCCTAGATAGCATATTGGTTTCATTCTAAGGCCCTGACCATCTTAAGATATATCATTATTCTATGTGCCACTAAAAGAAAAGCAAAGATTGCTGTCAAGTTAAGACACACTGTCAGTTTTAGTAGGTATCTTTATTTCAAGGATGTTAAAATAGGAAACAAGGATATTTCAGAGCTGATGAGTTCTTTCAGAAGAGTAAGCCTGGTAGCTTACTCTAAGTGGTTGGCTTCAGAATCTCTAGTAGTGTAAGTTTTTTGTTTTCATTTTTGTTCGGTTCAGAGCTTTGCGTATTAAGCAGATACTTTGCCATTGAGACTGCAGCTTCAGATTAGCCCTTTCAAGATTTCCACATCTCTATCCGTACCTGTACCTGCATCTGGGTAAGACTTAGAAAAAGAGGAGTAGTCTCCGCTGAGCATAGCAGTGGAGAAACCAGAGCCTCCATGGTGCCGCACAAACAGCCATCTGTGAGCTCGTTTCTAAAGTGACTGGTCAAACCCCGCACACCATCTTGGCAGTTGTGGGAGACATTCAGGACAAGACTGCTGTCGGACATCACTGTGTGGATAATGTTTGTGTCCAAAGGTGTGGGGGCGGCTAGACTGTCTTCCCAGTCATAGCATCCCCAGTGCTGGGTCAGGGTTAAGCTCCTTCATATGCTGCGTACCCAGGGCCGGGCCACCGTGTGAATTGTTTGTGGCAGAGTTGCTACACATTAAGAAAGTAAAACAGAGCCATTTAAAGACTGTCTGTTTTTGCGGTGCTAGAGCTTGAAGCCTCGGCCTCATCCCTGTGAGGCCAGCCGGCTCCCACTTGTGAGCCTTTCTGTTGTCAAGTGGGCAGACAGAATGGTGTTTTAAATCCCCTCTTCAGAGTTTTAATTTTCACCAAGAATGTTGTGTCCCCAGCTGTGGTGGCACACACCTGTCATCCCTGCTGCACAGAGGAGGTGGGGCAGGGGGATGGTGAGCTGGAGGTTAGCCAGACTTCATAGTAATACCCAGGCTCAAGAGAAGAGGAACTGTGGCTGGTTTTTTTTTTTTTAATTTCTGTTTCATTGTTTTATTGTCAGAATACACGACTTTTATTTATTTATTTATTTAT